CCCCCAAAACCCCAAAACCCCAAAACCCCTATTTGGTTATTTATAGATGAAAAATTATTTTAAATATGGGTAAGGGCCAGATGTCTGAGGAATAAGTGCAATTTGAGAGAAAAGAAATTGGAAAAATTGAGTTTTAGAGGGAGTTTAGGAGCTTTTTGACCTGTTTTGAGGGTCTAGAGGATGGGATAAGGTATATATGTGGGCTTTAGAGGTGAAAGATTGGGAGATTAACAGACTAGAAGGAGTTAGAAATTTAGAAATGAAGTGTAAAGGTTTTTGGTAGTGAAATAGATTTTAGAGATATCTAAGGTTGCTTTGAAGCCATTTTAAGCACATTCCAGGGTATTTTAGAGCATTATGCTTGTTATAATAATTATTGTAGATGATTATAAACAGAAAATAAACTACAATCCAGAGAATTCTAAGGAAATTAGGTCTTTGAACGGAAGAGAAAGAATATAGAAGCAGTAAAATTTTGAACTCACTTAATTTTAGTCTAAATTTTACACTAAGCCAAGAATTCCTAAACTATCTTCTTCCATGCAGAGCATCAGAGAAATCCAGAGGGAAGAACGTAAAAATTTTGTAGGCTTCATTAGTGGTAAGCCTCCTGCTAATCCCTAGCAAAGCACTGTGGGCGACCACGTGCAAGTGCTTATGACATTCCTGAGGAAGAGATTGATTCAAACTATCGCTCTCATGCTATTTCAGATCTTATCAAAAAGATTGATGGTACTTCCTTATTTTTAAGCACCATGTAGTGATCACAGAGTGCCACAAGTCCAGCTTCAAGTTCAAAGTTAGTAAAGTCAGCAGCAACGGAGAGTTTGAGGTTGACAAAGAATATGTCAGATTTGATCTCATCTCGGACTGTGATTACAAGAATTACACCAAAGTCAAAACTGAAAAACCTGATGCTTCCGAAGTTGGAAATAAGTAAGCTATTGTGATGATACTACATCTTTTTAGCTACCTAACAGCTTTATTTTAATTGAGGTTATGTTAGAAAATTTACAAATCCCATGCCTTTTATAATGTAAATCTAGTGCCCTAAAGTACAAAATGCTGAACTGTGATTCCAAGATGGTGAGGAGGATGCTTGAATGTAAGCCAGCCGTCTATGAACGGTCCCTAATCTCATCTATAGTCAATGATTTTACTGAAATAGATGGTCACGACTGGAACCTTCTATGGATGAACAGTAGTACAGCCAAGAAAATATGGTCAAAACTAAACCCTTACCAGAAGATCAACCATTTTCCATCAAGTTATCAGATCACTAGGAAGGATAACTTGTCAAGAAACATTAAGCGGATGCAGGAGGAGTATTCCTACGAAGAGTTCAACATCATCCCCGAGACTTACATCCTACCTGATGAGGCAACAACTTTGCTGAGCAAATTTAATGAAGGAACTTTACAAAGCCATAGGTTAAACTATTGGATTGTCAAGCCAGTTGCCTCCTCTAGAGGCAGGGGCATTTACATCACAAGCTCTCTAAGCGAGATTGATCTTGACAAGAAATTAGTTGTAAGCAAGTACATCCCGAACCCATTCTTGATTAACTCGCATAAATTCGATCTGAGGATCTACGTAATAATCACCTCGTTCGACCCTTTGAGAATTTATATGTTCAAAGAGGGTTTGGCCAGATTTGCTGCTGAGAAGTACAACTCAAGTAATATAAAGAACCGGTGCTCTCACCTCACGAACTACAGTATAAATAAAAAGCACAAAGATTTTGTCCAAAACGAGTCTGAAAAAAGAGACGATTATGGCTGAAAATGGAGCCTCTCAGCCCTTTGTAAAACTTTAGAGATGGCTGGGATAGACCTCGACCTTCTCTGGTCAAGAATCTATGATGCTCTGATCAAGATTATTCTTAGTGCAGAAGGGAAAATCTACGAGCAGGTCAAGAGCTGCTGCACTCATAGCACAAACTGATTCGAAATTTTAGGGTTCGACGTCCTTATCGATTCTAACTTAAAACCATGGATACTTGAAGTGAATCTCTCCCCTTCTCTCAGTAGTGATTCTCCACTAGATTGGAAGATCAAAAACAGCCTGTTAGCAAGCACCTTTAACCTGATCGGCCTAAACAGATTTAACCGTAAGAAGGACAAGGTTGACTTCACAACCTCGATCAGAGACTTGTATTCCAGAGGGAGGACTTATGCATCGACTAAGATACAAGTGTGAAATATGAATTTCTTCAACTCAATGCCGACATCTAAACTTTCATCTGAGGTAAAATAAATACCTTGACATTGATGGGAGCCTTAAAGACTATCAAACTTTCCTAAAATAACTACTTAAAAATGAAGAATAAGGACATTGTCAAGCAGACGCTTGAAGAAGTCAACCGAAGCGGGGAATTTATCAGGCTGTATCCCTCAAAGAACTCAGATAAGTACAACAAGTACTTTTCGGCGAAGCGGAGTCAGAACATCTTCATATATAAGATCCTGTATACAGAAGATGTTCTTCCTCTGGAAGCAGAGACTTACCACGAAGACTTGCCTTTGACACCTGAGAAGAAGGAATGTAAGTCTTATTAACTACATTAGGTATAGCTAAGACAAACTTGGAGTCCAAGGCTTCGCCCAAGATCAAAATTAATTAGACATATGTTATCTTCAAAGAATCTTAAGGCTAAATAGGATCTCAGATCAGTTTAGTGCCCATGAATGCCCATCTCTGATCAACAGCCAGGGAAACCCAATCGAAGATTACACAAGACCAAAGACAAGCAAGTTGATAGGGACAAAGAGTGTTTACCAGCCTGAAATTTCCGACCTGAAATCAGCTAAACCGAAGAAATCCACATCTCGGATCATCTCTGGCGATGACCTGCTGATCGAATACTCTTCAAGAGTGGTCAAAGTTCTCAGGCTGATCAATGAGGAGGATCTTGAGCTAGCCCACAAGAATGTGGTTGAAAGATTCATAAAACACAAAGCATGGGTAACCACTGATCTAGCCCAAACCACCCCGAATTCTCTCTATTGGCAACGCCTTGAAACACGAATTCTAGAAATGAAGGACAGAAGGAAACGGTTAGCCAAGAATATAGCTAAATCTGAAGGCTTGCTAGATAAATTCGAAGTTAATTATGACAAAATCATCCTTAAATAAAGAAGCTATCATGAAGAAATACAACACTTTCCAGCTGGAGAGCAAGGTTGGTAAGTACACAAAGAATATTGCACGAGATCTTGCTGAGATCTTTCTTCAGTTTGGCTCAAAAAGTGGCATCCTAAAGGCCTTGGAAAACAAACGATTTAATTACATGAAAGTCAAACTTCCCAAGAAATATGCACGTTCCAATCTGAACTCTTCGCCTTGTACTGCTAATATCAGGCCAACAGTGAAGTGTTTCACTAAGGTGAAGCACAAGTCTACTCAGAAGGAAGGGCCTGATCGGTTCTCCACTGCTGTTACAATGAACAATCCCTTCCACCAGCATGGTATTGCTAATTTTTAGCAGTTCGAATATATCCAATATAATAAACACAGACCAAGTGAAGAAGGTTAAGAAGCCAAAAATGATCCGCAAGAAGCAGGTTTCCACCTCAAAGCCCTCTCAGAGGAGACATTTTCCTCAAAGGTCGTATTACAGGTAATTTTAGATCTAATAGCTTAGAAATCCGAACAAGTTTGGCAACCAATACATCTACTTCAAGCAGAACAAGGAGAAGTGTAGACTTCTGACAGACCTTGACCTTGAAAGAACTCCACTGAAGGCTAATATTGCTGATAACCATCATATGAGCGTCAACTCGTATAAGAAGAAGCGGATTACTATTTCAGAGAAGGTACAGACTCGGTCTACCCATGCTTAAGTATTTATTCAATTTAATAATGCCTAAAGGGGTTTTGGGGTTTTGGGGTTTTGGGGTTTTGGGGTTTTGGGG